AAAGGCGTAGAAGGTTACCGGAGAAAATAACTTTCCCAATCTGTCAATGGTCGAGAATTAGCCAAAAATGTGTCATACAATTGGTGGTACTTATACTTACTTTGCCTATTCATGCTGAAACTCTTCGGGCGAATCATCCTCTTCCGCTTTTGGCAACTTGTCCTTCGTTCGTTGGGGACAAGCGCGTACCTTAAACTGGTGTCGCCTTCGGACCTTGGGTCCTTGTAGAAGGCATTGTGGTAGTAGTAGCCTGGCATACTCATCCATAGTCTTTCGCTCCATCTTCATCCGCAGCTTGGTCGCGGCATATGCCACCTCATATGGCATAGCCGGCAGGTTCTCTATTGCATTTTTAAAGTCTTTAATTTCTAAGCGGTCTAGCGGTCTTAAGTCTAGTTACTTAATTTCTTCGATGGAGCCATTAAAGCTCGATTTTGGTTCGGTGCGCGAAAATATCCGAGGCACGGCCATCGCAGAGCAGGGCGGCCGATGCAAAGCTGTGGGAAGGTGGAGTAGAATATTGTTAGTTTAAGAATTTGGGCAGATATCGTGTCTTTCCACTCACCTGGTTGATGGGACACTGAAAGTCTCCTGGCCGCTTGCAGCAGTCGGCCTCATCGTGGACATTGTCACAGTTGTCACTGGTGGTACCATCGCAGATCAGAGTCTTGTCTCTGCCCTCGGTTGACTGTCAGCTGAACTGCTCCGCCGGGCAGTCCTTTCGTCACAGCGCCAGAAGGCGGATATACTGTCGTTCTTTATGTCACTACTCCCGCCACTTAAAATTATCTGTCCGGATAGACGCCGTAGTTCTCCTTGCCCTCCAGTAGCATCAGAGCATCAGAATCTGGCACGAGCATACGTCGTGAATACTGCGTGTCATACCCCGCTGGCCATGCAGATGTGGAAACACTTTGTGCGACTGTGCAGACAGGTGTGATTGCGCTCCTCTCCAGTCCGGTCTTATCGTCCGACACAAATCTCCCGAAGGCAGAGACCAGCGAGATGTGCATGGAAGCACGGATTTTTCTGTAAAGGGGGAACAGGAGATTACAAAGGTCCAAAGGTGTCCAAATATTGGTTGCTTACTAACATCGATACGCATGGGATATCGGACTGTTCGTGTAAGACCAGAGTCGTGACTTCTTCCAGGTCCACATGCTCATTGCCATCGACTCGGGCCCGAATGATGGCCTGATGGCTGCTGATATCTGTCCAGAAGAGCAGACGCTTCGAGGCTTCGGCGAGTTCGCCCAGGAAGCTATAAGAGGCAACGTTTTAGAACACAGCTGAATAGGGAGAGAGAGCTCCACCTGGGCACGGATAATCTTGCCGGACACCGGCAGCAGCTAATTCGGGCAGTCCGTCGTAGCTGGGAGGGATGCAGGCCACGTCCTTAGCGAGGCTGCGGCTCTGGCCAGTCTTGATCAAAGTCCCCGGTGCTCCAGTCGCTCCAGTAGTCCTAGCCATCCAGTAGAGGAATGTGAGCTCCCGGTTATGGTTGCAGCTCGGATTCGTCCATCGTGGCGCGGCTTATGGAGTCCGAGGCGACTCTGTTCAAGTACATGCACCCGCGACGCGTCTCGAGGACGAGGGAACGCGGCTTCTCCACCCCCCTTCCACAAAGCACGACGGCTGCCATCCACGCGGGTGATCTCGATGAGATGAGCCTCCGCATCGGACCGACGCGAGAACATGCCCCATTCCACACGTTTTTCCATCGCACCAGACGCCAGAATCCTGAAGAACCCGGTGTCCAGATGCCGTCCAGGGTCTGTTCTTTTTCCTCCTTTTTCAATTGTTTTCCTATGAAATTCGTCTTCTGGTGGCTGAGGCAGGGAGTAGTGGGCCACAACTGCGCCAAAGGGCGCCGCTGGTCGTTTCGGCATCGCTGCAGACTCTGTGGCTCGACTTTAACTGTAAATGCGAAGAAGGTGGAAAGCACGGAATAGCCGTGGAACAGCGGCGGTTTTTGGGAGTGCCCTGTGACATCAGGACTTACTGTCATTTGAAGCCACTGTAGGCAGACGCACAAAGCACTTATGTTCACACAACAGTAGCATAAACAAACGAGTATCATTCCAATTGCTCAATTCTTTATTCCGACGAATATTACTAGCTATATAGAACATATAGCCATGCCCACATAATTTTATACGATTGCTGAATCAATTTTCTACAAGATTGGATAGTTTTTTATCCTTGCTTTTATTGTATTTATTGTAATCAGGGTTAAACGAAAAAGTCCAACCAAAAAAGAATCGCAATGTTGCTGGTATTTGAAGACGTGATGCGTGTATAGCCTTTGTACACCCTATTTCGCTAATTTTATATGAAGATCAAACGTAATTTATTAAGACCTTTTCTCAAATTGATATGTTTTTAACTTATTCATGTGGCTTATTAGTATCTTGTATATATTTATCTCGATCCTGAGCCTTGGAAGACAAACGTATTCACAATTCTATAACATCCATTTGCCACAGGGTATGTGTGCATGGAATTAGCAACATTTGTGCATGGAGTTAGCAACATTTGTGTATGGAATGGGACTCATTGTTGCAATAGCGAAACTGCGGCGAATCGGGTATTGCCTATATTTCAAGCTATATAGATTTGCCCACTTGGCTTTATCCCATAGATAAATGCATTTTCTACAAGATTGCTTCTTTTAATTACCTTTATGTATTTTATTTTGACCAAAAAACGGTTTTCAAGTAAATGTTGCCGCAACTTTTGTGTATGGAATGCGCAACATTTGTGTATGGAATGAGACTCATTGTTGCTAAAGCGAACTGCGGCGAATTGCGGGCGAATTCAAATTTTCTCATATTCTTTGTTCCGTTGAATAATACTATCTATATGGAATATTTAGCCATGCCCACTCAATTTTGCACGATTGATGAATCAATTCTATATTTGATTGGCCTATTCAAAAAACTTGCATTTATTGGGTTTTTATATAAAATTGAAAATGAAATTAATAGATGACAAAAATACCATTTAGCACTAAAAAACACCACATGGGAGCGCGGCGAAAACCAGTTTCTACAGTATATACGGTCTCACTTGAAAATATACCGAGTGGTGCGCGCCAAATCGAACGTTTTGAATGTGAGCGACAAGGACTTAAATGTTGTCAACCGGGCCTTTATCTATGCCCACATAATTTTTTACGATTAATGAATCAATTTTCTACACAATTGGTTAGTTTTTAGTCCTTGCTTTTATTGTATTTTGACTACAGCAAGGATTAAACAAAAAAAGTCAACAAAAAAACAGGGGAAAAATGACATTGTGGCGGGGAAAAGTCCCTCCACGAAGAGAGGATTTCCCATCACAAAACAGAGAGCAAGTCCCACAAAAGTCCCTATTCAATTTATGTATTATACCTTCATCTCGATTTAGTCTTCAAAATATATTTAAAGGTATATAACGTATATATATTTCGGACTCATGCTGCTAAAAACATGTTGCAATGAATGTGCGATAAGTGCGATACAATCTATCGCACATTTTTATCGAACGTGTTGCGACAAAAAGACGCCAGGTGGCACTGTACAATTATTTTTAAAATTTCAGGCCCTCTATCGGGCCTGTCACTTATCACTTGCCTCCCAGAGTGTCAGAGGTCCCAAAAGTCAAGTTCCTGGGGCTGGTGATGTTTGTGAGTAATAATATGTACTTCTTGTCGATCAGAAGGCGGCACTCTAGTTCTTATTTAATTTCGTACCCACAAAATAGATTTAAATAATATTATATTTCGATATTTAAATAAATATTCGTTTTACAGTACTGATTAGACAGAGCCATTTACCAACACTCGACAAGAGACCACTAAAATCGACTTGAAACGCTTTAAAAACGCTTATTTTAAATAGAAATGAATAGAAAACTAATGTTAAGTGCCTTGAGAGCAGTACGAGTGAGTACCTCCAACAAATGGCAAGTGCCCGCCTTGACGACAGTGCGACAATACGGTAAGTAACAGCAAACACTTTTGGACCATGCATTCTACCGAAATATTTCATAACAGAGCCGGCAATGGCAATCTTTCTTTGCAGCTGCGCCGCCAAAAAGATTCTACAAGAAGACCTCTGTGCTGTACACTGATGGTGGCTACGAGGTGGTGCTGGATCACAGGAAACTAAAGACACCAAAGGGCGCTCCCTTCACCGTCAAGAGCGAACCGCTGGCCATTGCCGTGGCCACGGAATTCGACAGCCAAAGGGATCACATCGAGCGGTCGCGCATGCACCTGTCGGCCCTGTGCTTCACGGCCATCGATAATCCCAATAATCTGAACAAACTGGATATGGTCAACTATCTCTTAAACTATATGCCCACCGATACGGTGCTCTTTCAATATGATGTAAGATTCAGGCAGAGCATTCCAAGAATATAGCTAACATTTGACTGCTTGCAGGATGAGCGAGATCTTAAGGAACTGCAGAAAAACGAATGGGATCCAGTGATTGAGTGGTTCAATCAGCGCTTCGAGACGAATCTACAGAAAACCATGAACATAACACCGCCGACAATTACCGATGAGGATCGAGTGAAGGTGGCCAAACATTTCCAATCCTACAGCTTGGACACACTGCATGGTAAGCAGTGCCCCCTGCAAACATTGTATTCTATATGCATTGAAATATCTTCTTTCCCTTAGGCTTCGTATATGCTGTGGATACGTTGAAATCCATTATTTTGGCCTGTGCTGTCATAGAGCAGATGCTGCCCGTGGAAAAGGCAGTGGCACTGTCCCGGCTGGAGGAGGAGTATCAGATCAAGTTCTGGGGACGCGTCGAATGGTCCCACGATCTGAGCCAACAGGAACTGCAGGCGCGTCTGGCCGCATCAGTCCTCTTTATACAGCTCAATTGTTCCGAGAACTTTGTTAAAGAAAAGCTGATACTGTAAAGCAGAGCTGAAGTAAAAACTAGTAGTAACCCTGTATTTATAATTCTCATTATTTCGATAACCAGCAAGGCCCAAATTTGTAAATTCATTCGTCCCGTTTTCTGTCTGATTTGTGGAATGTGCCTAGAAACTCACACACACATGGCGGTCTCCAATCACCGCCTTCATCCCAGCGATGAGGAATATGAAGAGTATAGCCATATGTTGAGAGGCATCAAAACCACCGATGATCTCCACAGGACCTATAAACCCGAGGAAATACCTCCGAAACCAACTTCCATCTTGAGAAACAGACAAACCGAAGTTTCTTTCAATCAAAACGATGACAAAGCTGCTGCAGAATGTAATCACAACACTGGCAAACACATAAAGTTGCAGCCTGTCGACGTTAGCACAATCATAGGACCAAGCTATAGTATATTGGATTTAACTTTAAACTGGGAACTGAGACGAGATGTAGGTTCTACAACAACCATCAAAGCCGTTCAGGAGCTCTACTCCTGTAAGAGATCCTTAAGCAGCTCAAGCCTCGAGGAAAGCCCACAAACGGGTGTGGCGAATGATAAACGCATTGCCTCCGGGCGAAGTAACTGGTTAAAATGTAGTAAATATTCGAATAGCGAGTGCAAGGAGAATAAGTGCAAAGGTGAGTAGAACAATGATAGTAGATCTAAAGTACACCCTATTAAACACCTCCAATAGCTGCTTGTAAGCGCAAAAAGGCATGTTATGCCACCGTTAGCTATGCGGACCCAGAGCAAAGCTATGCCGAATCAGAACGAAACCAGTACTATCCCGAGTCGCAACAAAGCCAGGTCTATCCTCAGTCGGAACAAAGCCAGGTCTATCCCCAGTCGGAACAAAGCCAGGTCTATCCCCAGTCGCAACAAAGCCAGGTCTATCCTCAGTCGGAACAAAGCCAGGTCTACCCCAAGTCGGAGCAAAGCCAGGTCTACCCCGAGTCGGAACAAAGCCAAGTCTATGCTAAAGAGGAAAAAAGCTGTAGCTTTCACGAATCGAAACCAAACCATGGCTCCCCCAAATTGAAACAAAATCCTGTCTATCCCGAATCGCAAGAAAACTCTTACTACCCCGAGTCGGAAGCATGTCATAGGTCGCCCAATCGTGTGTCACCAAAGCAAGGCTCATCCAAATTCCAGCAAAATTCAGTCTATTCCGAATCCAAGCAAAGCCGTTGCTCTGCCGAATCGGACAGAAAAACTGACCATTACAACATGAAAAGTACTTCAACATTCAACACAAGCAATGGCACTGATTATACCGATGAATCATGCCTCAGAACTCAGGCTTATGATCGCCATGCCCAATCTCCACGGTGCGAAAGTTCACGGGACTCCCATAAGTTTGAGGAAGAGCAGCGGATGACAGATTGCAGTAGGCAATCTCATAAGAGGGGTACAGACGCTGCTAGTCATTTAGGGTCTTCGAATTATTCCTGCCCATCCCCCTGCCCCATTCCACTTGTTCCCAGGACGAATAGCAGCTGTCACGGTGCACCAACGAATGAAAATTCTTTGCATGGAGACGCCATGGAGAGTTGCGGAACAGCAAAGACCAGAGGCATGAAGAGGCCTGCAAATTCTTGCAGTGGTTCTTCCATGTCTGGCACTCCCTCCGCGGCATGCTCGTTGGATGACGGTCAAAATGAAAACTCTGCCTGCAACTGTGTGGATATTGAGAGCTTCCTCGCAAATTGCAAGAAACACCCGGCACAATGCTGCGATCCATGTGAGGGCTGCTGTCCCGTATTCTCACCTCCTTACATGAGACCCTGCGCACCTTCTTGCAGCCCCCCAGAGCCCCCCTGCATCAGCAACGAATGCTTCTGCATGGGCTATGTGCATGATATGCTGGAGGATCGATCCGTCTACGCTGTATCCTATCGGCCGGTTATGTGTTGCGGCAACAATTTCAAACATTCTTCCAATGGGAATAGTTGCCTCTGCTCAGACCTGCCGCTGGGCGGTGGTTGCGGACCCTGCAGCAATGTCTGTCCCCCCAGTCCATGTTGCTTTTCAGCGGAATCGCCCTCATGCTGCGGTGCCTCTTGTCCGGGTGTCTGTCCACCCGCTTGCGGCGGTTGTCCGGTAAGCTGCTTGTATCCACTGGCACGACTCAGGTGAGCAAATCGACAATGATTTTTGAACTCCTTTTAATATGAAAATAACTCTCCTTAGTCCGGGCTATTGTAACTCCTATCCCTGTGGTGGATGCAATGCATATTGCATTTAACAGGCATCGCTTCATGGCTCTCTAGAGTCCAGATTGTGGCAGCGAATCCCCTCTTGTTATGGAAAGATATAGAATACCTATGGCAATGAAAGCGTTTTATAGATACTTAGACTTAAACGGAAATAATGGTACACACGTCCGGGAATATAATGCCGTTTATATCAATGTTGTTTCGGATATGGATTCCATGTAGGCGTTCCTCATTATCTTGAGGGAAGAGTGCTCCCAGGAAACAAAGTCTTAGTTTTCCTAGAGGCATTCTTTGCATACATACTTTCCATCGCCGGACTGTCTCCAGTCTTCCTTGTCCGAAAAATCATGGGCCATCTCCTGCTACTTCCAGGCAATTCAAGATTTACATCCTACAGCAGAGTTCAACATGTAAATATCCCATTTCTACCGCATAATAAATTCACAAATAACAAATCTCACATTTACACGATTTAATTGTCGCACTTTTTGTAGTGTGATCGTTTGTTTTTTTTTTTGTTTTTTATTACAAAATATTGCATTGACAATTTACGCTTAATTGTTGTTGGTTTTGTTCCATTCTTGAATTTCCATTGTGTTCCATTCAAAACAGAGTATGAAATGATATATTTACTATGGGATGAGTTAATGGATATAGCAAAAACGAAACATCAGACACACAAGTAAAACTCTGCTTAATTTATGCTTAATTTTGAGCACACTTTTCACTAGTTAAGCGGAATACTTAAGTAGAAAAATATCTGTCATCGTATCAGAACGCTCCTAAATCCGCCCTTCCTGTTTTTGTGGATTTTGTTTGAGTTTGTTTTTGCTAGTGGAAATTACAAATTAAATTTGATTTGATTTTTCGCTTAAATAATTGCATTTAACTATGGGTAAACATTGTATTGATATTTAGTTGGAGCATTTCTTTCATTATTAAATTAACATTTAACTATTTTTTGTAGTTTTTTAGTTTTTGTTTACATTTACGGACAGCAGCAGGAAACAAGGGCAGAAGATCTGTTTTTTTCACCATTTTTCTAAGGGAAATGTAATCGTGATTTTCGATTAAATGAAATTTCTTTTGGAATAACAATTTGGGATTTTTGTTTAAATTAAAATTAATTAAAGTCAGTAAAAAGTAGAATCTCCATGGAAAACAATTTCTGGAGGTTTTACGATTAATAAGTTATTAAAAATCATACAAAAAAGATATGAACAAATTTTTGATATAGCAAAATCGTAATCAAGTTTATCCCCTTCTTCAGGCTTCTTCTGCCCTTGACTTTTAAGTATGTAGTTTTACGGATTGGTTCGCTCTTTTCTCTTCTTCTTCTGGTAGACATTAAATTGGAATTACATTGGTTTCTCCTGTTCTGTTCTTTTGTTTTGTTTTTTTTTTCTGGTGGGTTGGGGGTCTGGAAGTACTTTTACAGTTAACATACACACACGCACACACATAGACATATATGTACATACATATGCCGGGAGGGGCTATACATATATCTAACTAGCTAAGATATATGCAAAAATAATTAATTAATGTAGTTTTTTTTATCGCTTTTATATATGTTTTAAATCCTGTTGCAGGATTTGCTTCAGCTATTTAAGTAAGGATTACACAAATAATAATAATAGCTATTAATTAATGGAGAAACTAATGCAGAATTATAATGGAAAATATAAATTTGATTTATGTAGTTATGGGGGAGGGGGGGTAGGGGGGCAGGGCCGTTTGTGTGTTGATTTTTTTATGCAACATATAGCATCACTGGAATAGTCTGTTTGCCAAGCTGCAGGCCGGGCTGCGGCATGGCATTTTTCGAGTGGTCTTTTCATCTTCAAGTATGTATATAGTTTTGCGGCCATATCTGGCTGCAGACATATGTTTATGACATATATCCAAATATATATATATATATATATGTATATACCAATAGTTTATAAGTAGACATGTGTGAAATTGCACTAAAACTAAATGCTACAACATTTAAAAATTGGACATCCAAATGGATGGACTCCATTTACATACAAATAGAGATATACATATATACTCGTACTATATATATATTTATCGAAAATTCTAGCAGCTCTCCTTCTATCAAACCAAATCGGTTTTGGCATTTTTTTGTTTTGTTTTTTTTTTGTTCATTTATAAAATAGTTTTATATAAGGTTTTATGTATGTATAAAAAAAGTCGCTAGCTGCTTAAACTAAATTTAATTTGATTTTGCATTTGTTGTTTCTGCCTTTTTTGTTTTTTTTGTTTTGTTTATACGTAGTAATTTTTTAAATAAATTTTCTTAGTCTTTTCATTTTCCATTGTGTGCTTTAGTTTACTCTATACATAAGTCATCGGTATATATATCATTCATATATAGCGAAAAACGTTATATAATTGTTTCTTTTCTTCTTACTGGAAACTCAAAAGCCAGCAACAGACAGGGCAACGCGCGCGGGGCGGTCCTCCCGCCCTTCCAGCACATGGCATTCATCAAACGAGTATATCAAAATATGTATAGTTCGTGTATAAAAATTTGGCAATTTTTGCGCATAGTTTCGGGTCAATGCTTGGGAGGGGTCGCGGATCGGATCCCGTCTGCGGCGACGACTGCTGTTGCGGCTTTGGGTTTTTAGGCACATGTTTTCAGAGCTTATAGGTAGAGCACTTAACCCTACAATAGATATATCTAATACTAAATATGTAAAACTTTGTCGCCGTCAACAATTGTCAATGTTCTCCGCGCAACAGCTCCATCAGCAAATTGAAGTCAGCTCCATCGCGTGTCTTGATCGTCAGCATTTCCTTGCCCAGCTGTTCGGAGGGAGTTTCATTAGATCTTTTGTACTTTTAGGGGCATTCCAAGCAAGCACTCACCTGACATGTGCGCTGCAGGTCGGGTATACGCAGCAGCAGCTCTCCAAACTTGGAAGGCGTATCCGGATAGTGGGCCAGCGTATAGGCCTGCAGGCCCTGCAATGCCTTCTCCTGGCACTCCCGCACTTTCACCGCCTCATGCAGCTCTGAGGTGTCTAGATAGTGTATGGGGTATTAGATCAGGGTTTACTTGGACCTCCTCTTGGAGTCTTACCTGACTGCAGCAGCACTATCACCTTCATGGCAACATATTCGTAGCGGTCCACGCGCAGACGCCTCAAATGGTCCGTCAGATTGAGCATGCGTTCGATGCAGGTCTATAAGGAATCAAATTTTATAATGGGGATTACTTTTATGGGTTTAATGTGACCTAAAGAAAAACTACTCATACTGGGAGAAAAGAGGGGATAAAAAGTTAAAAGAGAATTAACAAAAGAAGATGCATTTAAATGATATTTCCTAAGACTTTTAATGATTTCGGAATCATAAAAGGAAACATTAAGAATGAAAACATCCAGAAATTGTGGGAATTTCCATAAGATTTCGTTAATAAGATGAAATGTCCGAAAATAAATAAATTAAACAGATTACTGAATTGAAACTCTGATTGATTGAACAATAGAAAGCAAGAGCATCTCCGTGGGAGCATTTTTTGGATTAAAAGAGCTTTAATTTGGGTATAAAATGAAGCAACACAAAATGTAATTTTTATAATGAATGGTAAATAGTTCGTACTTTAAGAAAATAAAGACTCAAGTACAAGACTGTAACGAGTATGAGAAATTATATTTATACAATGGAAAACCCCACTAAATCTCTCCAAACAGTAATTATTTAGTGATATATTGATTTTATAGTTACAAATGTCAGTAGTGCCTCTGTTTAACTTATTTCTATGACTCATATTTCACGCAGATTATTTATATAGATTTTTTAAGGGGCTTTAGTTTATTTAAAAACCTTTCAAGATATTTTTATACCATAAAATATTCACGAAATGAAATACAACTTCCCGAAAGTAATAGCATAAATTTATTTATTTATAGTAAAACCAAAACACACCTGAAGCCCATTCGTTTTGGCCTGTGATAGTGTTATCTTTCTGCCTTGGGACATCTTTATCTCCCCGGGCGTATCAATCGAACGGAAACAGCAGGAGAAGAGCAACAGTTCGCACCACGAATTGATCAGCAAACAGATTTGATCATCGATCTGAAAAGAGTTATTATAGTGCTCCGATCTATTCCGAAAGTAGACGACAGTTACACACCGAAATGTTCTTAAAGAGCGGCAGACTCTTGCACCATTTGACAATCTTGTAGAGACGATGATCGGCCACATTGCAGAGATGAGCAATCAGATCGGGATTGGCATTCTCCCCGTTGGACGAGAGACCGGCACTGGCCAGCAGTGGGTTGGTCAATTGCTGCTGCTGGTGCTGATGCGGCTGTTGCTGCTGCTGCTGCTGTTGGTGGTTCTGGTGTGCCGTTGAGGCGGCAGACGACGACGATGATGATGAGGAGCTGCCACCAGAGGCAAAGGCGGACAATGGCTGATTGATGCGGGCCAGCTCTGCATCGGTGTACTGCCAAAGATGTTCAACATCCATGATTTCCTGTTGCCAAAAAAAGAGATCCATTAATCGGGGAACATCTAAGGAAAGTCTCCTTGAAAACCCACCTGCAATAGCGTTGGAATACTGCTCGCTCTTAATGTCTTCGCCTCGGATTCCTCTGTTTTGATGGATGCTCCTCCCAGACTGGGACTCGCCGGCAGGGATGTCGACCCTGAAAAGCCATTCATCTGCTGCTGGAGTCTCTGCTGTTGATGCTGGTGCTGATGATGCTGCTGGTGCTGGTGCTGATGATTGGCCACTGAAGCTACCGCAGCGGCTGCCACCGCCTGATCCGGACTCAAGAGCGGACTCAACATCGAATTGGGCAGCGTGTAGGAGCATTGATAGGTGGAGCGACCGCCACGGGTGCGATCCTCGCGTATGGCCTCCAGTTTCATGCCCTTCTGCAGGCACTTCTCGAACCGACAGGCAGGGCACTTTTTGCGCGTGGAAATGCTCACCTGGCAGGGTCCCCCACGGACGCACACGTAGTTCTTGCGATTCTGGACGGTGCGCTTGAAGAAACCCTTGCAGGACTCGCAGGAGAAGATGCCATAGTGGAAGCCACTGATCTTGTCCCCACAGATCGGGCAGGGGGAGTTGATCAGCTGCTGGCGGGAGATCCCGGCCGGGGAGGCGGGCAGCGAGCCCGATCCTAGCGGATCCATGGCACTGGAAGCCGAGTCCATGCTGAGATTTTGTGCCGACTCCTGGCTCGATCCACCCGTTGAGGAGGCCTCCGCTTTGAGCGGCCTGTACAGCATACCATGATGATGCACGCCGTTCCCGTAGCTGCTTCCGGCTCCTCCGTTTCCTGCCGCGGATCCGCTGCCGGGATACATGGATCCCGCCGGTGGGGCATGCCGCGCCTGAATCGGCGAGTGCGTCGGACTGAACTCCGAGCTGTAGCTGTAGCAACTGCTGTGCGAGGCGTCGCTGTTGTTGCGACTCAGCGACGGCGTGTA